AAATTTTTAAACTGAAAATTAATGCTATATTACAAAATACTTAACAATAAGGTGAATGTAGTGCTGTATGTAGGAAAGTAGGAGGCAAAAAGGCCTTTTTAAGTGAACTTAAATTGAGAGAAAAAAGCTTGAGGAATAATAAGTAAAAAAAGTACCTATCAAAGACAGATTTAATTTCTTACCTGTGGTGTGCCCTGGCAAGTAGCCTCAAGGACTTCAAAAGATGTGATTGATCTCAAGTGAGCAAGCAGAATACTCATTTGGTAGTCCCAGCTTTAAATATATAGCTGAAGGAATTTGTTACCTTTGAGGTGGAAGGTATTGCACAAGGGTGAGGAATAGTTAAGATGATTTGACACAAAAAAAGATTAGATCTGGTAAATTCAAGATAAATAGATAGATATAGATATGGAGAGATATATATGTATGTAGCTATGCAACTCCTATAACCATCATGTAAAAACAAAATTAGGAAATGCAGTAGCTTGGGTTTCTGCTAGCGCTTCCTCAGACAACATGAAGACCCTCCTTAGAAGAAGGATCACTATGAGTATTTTCAGGAATTATTTTTATGGGGTTTGAGTTTTGGAACTTTGATTTTTCTTCCAGATAGTTTTTCAGACTGTTGTAGTCCTCTGTTCAGCATGTGAATTGCTTCAGGTGGTGCCTTATATTGTGAGGTGGGCATTTAGAATAATTATCAGTATTGTTCAAATCCTAGTGGACACGTTTTTTGAGAGCCAGTCCTGCAGACTTAAAATCTAAGTATTTGGTGGTGTTCTGAATTATGACCCTGGAAGACTAAGACAGTGGACTGAGTTAATAGTGGGGTGATACCCTGACCCTTTTTAATATTGCTGGTCCTTCAGTGGGAAGGACCTTCTTAACTACATTGTGGGTGGGAGCCTACTTCAATATAGTGTGTCTTGGTGCAGTTTTTCAACGTGTTCTTCATTGTACATTTAATTTTAATTTAGTAACAGTAGACTTGAGATTCTCGGTGACTGGGCAGTTTAGAAATGGTAGTATACCAACAGGTATACATGCAAAACACGGAGGAGAGAATCATCTGAATTCAACAGTTATTGGAGCTCTGCTTGAAATTTCTGATTTGTAGAAGACGAGAAGATCAAGTATGTCAGTAGCTTCCTATCGTAACTAATGTGAAACCATTCTGGTGGCATAGACACTAGGCTTGTTATTTAATGATTAATTGGGCAAAATACAAACTCAAGGTTTGTACCTTTTTGGGTACCTTAGTATCTGAAGAAAAGGTAAAGTCGTAGCTGAGAGAGTTGTTTGGTTTTTTCTTTTTCTCCTTCAGGTAGGTTACCTTTATCTGTTTCAAATACCTCTTTTCATCAGAAAATGGACAGTGAGAATGTCTGGAAATATTTTTCAATTTAATTTAGGATTTACTATAACTAATGCGATCTATGAATGAGTTCAAACAATATTCCATGTATTTGCATTGTGTATTTCCAATTTTAAAAGGAATATAATTTTGTAGTTGCTCTGCTTATGCTAATTCTACCTGTATCAAATGCCAGGGTTTAATGGAGCATTTAAGGTTTCCTCTATTTGACTTTTGAATGAATTCAAACAATTTTTCATGTACTTGCATTTTATATTTTGTAAAAAGATGGTTTTCAAATACTTACTTGTGTAGGACTGTCATCTCTCTCTGTTAGTTCAAATACTGGTATTCATGGAATCTCAATGTAATTTGTAAAAAGCATGCAAGTTCTGACTTATGGAATAATGTTTGAATTCAGTCTTGACAGTGGGCATTTCATTACCATTAATTTTTTTTACACAACTTCAGCACTTGAAGATTTGCATCCCTAGGGACTGAAATCTCCATCTCGGAGAACCTTCAAGACCCCCTGAGATGCCTGTTCCGCAATGTGTGCATCCTCATATAACTATGGAAACAACCTGAAGAAAAAGTCTGTTGTGAGGCAGAAGTGTAGTTTTGGTGTTCTCTTGCTGTGGAGTTCAGTAACATAGTAATAGTCTCTAATCTCAATGTGTTTCTGCGAAACCTTGGTAAGTAGTTCTCCTTGTCTCTTATTGGACCCTGGTCAAGTTTTGGTAAACTGGCATACCATCAGACCGAAGGTCTATCAACAGGAGAAAAGGGCAACAAATACCTGGTTTGCTGACATTGTTTTTCTTCCACTGAGCAAATATAAAGTGATTCCTCCCCTGCTAAACTTTCTACCTTCTTGCAGGCAGCTCTTAGGTACTTTAACTGAAAGTGATGGCATTTTAAAGGAAGAAAAAAGTATTGATCTAATACCTGTTAATGTTGAATATATTGGCATCTTCCCTTGAGAAATTTGCATTAATTTGAAATAAAAGTACTCTGAGTTGAGGGCATAAAATGTCTTGCCCTTAATTTTAACTGTAATTAGTGCATTAAGAAAGTCTTCTGGGATATTTAGGAAACAGGTCAAATCCTTTCTTAGTCAAAATTGACAGGCTGAATTCTGTAATATCTTATAGCGATGCAAAGCTTGTAAGGAACTGGGCTTAGCTGGTGAAGCTTTTAAGCTTACTGGTTTGAGGGATGTTAAAGAACGTTTGGTGGTTTTTTTTGTGGAGTAGACATGGTTCTCGTTCCTTTGCTGTGCACGTTTTGTGTGCAGCTGGTACAAAGATTGTTTTCAGTAACTGAAGGTGCAAGAGGTTAGTAGTGTGTTAGCAGCAATTAAAACTACTGATGGTTTCACTGAGAGTTCTCTAGGCAGCAGAGAATTCAGATTTTTTGTTCTCTCTTAGAAGTCCAAAAGAGGTGGAGAGCTTTATGTGCTGGAGGACAGTTTGGGCGCAGTTCCATGGGGGAATGACTTATTTCCAGTTGCGCAGGGTTTTAATTTTGGTTTGCAACCGAGAGGTGTATGTTAGCTGCCCAGCTTCAGCAGTTTGCTCATGACAACTGCCTCTAAATAATAGTTTTCACAGGACTTCTGTCTCCATTCTCTTTAAAAAAGGGTAAGTGTAAGATAGAAAGCAAATCTGCTTTGCGGTAAATATGTCATTGAGAAGAAAGGACATTCTTGTCAGAAAGGATTAGTTTTTACGTTGTTCAGTACTGTGCCAGATACGCTGATGGACCCTCACTTGGTTGCCTTCCTGCTGTGGGCCAATCCAGGTCACCTGAAGTGTACCCTTTGACTTCTAAGGAGTCAGTGCAAAGTAACAGGGCACACATTCAGCCCAGACTTTCAAGGCCTTCCTCTCGCTGTTGACTGGATGAAATTTATCTGTCTCCAAGTGGTAAGTCGGTCCATTGAAGTTCACTGTCTCTCTCTCTTTGCTTGAGAGAGGGGCTGGGGGTGGTTGACTGGAATGAGTCACCTCAAAGGATTAAGCAGCTCTGGAAAGTGAGCAGACTGCTCATATTTTGGGATTTAGTTGGATTTAGGTACAAACATGATTAAGGTTTAGGTAAACTGCATCCCACTCTGTAATAGAAGACACCCAGTTTTCACAGGGGCTGTGACAAATTTTTGTTTCTAGATATATTTCCAGGGGAGGAGTGAACAGGAGGGCATAATTAAACAAGGAAAAAGGAAAGTGCGTGCTGAAGTCTACTTGGCACTACATGCTTTGTTTGTTTTTAGTCTTGTTTTCCTAAGAATCCAAAGTGTATCTGGTTACCGTGTTTCTCCAGTCCTTCCTCATAAAAACTCCTTGAAGCTTTTTGCTGAACTTCAACCACATCTGAAAGAGGGAAGAGCATTCAAAACTATTAAGTACTTAGGAACTTTGATTAAAGTGGTTGCTGGATATTGGAGAGGCACAAAACCAATTTCTGCACTGTAGCAAAGGTTGCTGTAAAAACTCAAGGCTGATGGATCGTGCTCAGTGTGCCATGGAGCTACTTGCTGGTTATGTGTAAGTTTCCCTGTCAATGCGTAGCTGGAAACTAGCTGCAACACCTATAGCAACTTGCTGCGTTCCAGTGATTAACCAAAGTGGAAGAGGAGCAAAGGGACACTTGAAGTACTCTGGTGAGGCGTAGTGAAGAACCGGGTTATTGCCGTAGTAGTGGTTGAAGATAAGGGGCACAGGACGCACGTTCGTGGGAAACTGGGCTTTATTGCTTCTGCTGGGCTTTCTTCTTTGCTGCTCTTCTAATTTGACTGTAAAACCTCTTTCCATTTTACATTTGTAAGTCTTGTGAATAAATAACTTACAGTTAAATAACTGACCTGTTTTATAAAGGTGAGAATAGCTAGTGCTCGCATGCTAGATGAACACAAATACGTGTTATTTTGTTGTATGAAGCTCTCTGTGGTCCAAGTCTAGAAGAAAGCTGGGCTGCATGTATAGATCTGAACAAAGAACTGTCTCGAAGGGAATGCTGACACTGGTTTACCAGAGAGTTGTTGTCCTTATTTCAGAAACCTGAAGTTTTGTGTTTGTTCAAAACCTGAACAGCTCAGAACTGTAACAGCAGTCTTCTGGCCTTCATAGGCTTCAAGAAATATTTTGCACAGGGTTCACGTTCTCTAAAATTTAAGACATGACAATTATATTTCCAGCACTGTAATTGAGGTAAAAAATCATAATTTAAAGAAAAATAGGGGATGATTTATTTTATTAAAATTTTCTCATGTGGATTAATTAACTGAGATTTGGCAAGCTTTTAAGATTCTTCTCATGTTCTTATGCTCTTAAATTGGCTTTCCTAGTTGTTCACAGGAAGTGTGCTAAATGAGTATAGCTGACCAAGTCGAGTCTTTACTTACGGTTTTGGTCATGATTTTTTTTATAAAGATCAGTACATGTGAGAAATACTGTAGCTGCTATCTGTTCTCTCCCCTATGGTAGTGTTTGAGGTTTTTTTTTAGTTTGTTCTTGTTTAAAGATGTGGAACTACTGCTTCAGAGATTCCACTTACGTGCTCGCATATACGCGTATAAGATACCGTGTTCAGCGTAGTTCTGTATTTGAAGGGTTTGGGTTTTATTTTCTTAATTTCTTTTTAGCGGATATAGCTCAGAGATACAGGATAAGCAAATATCCAACTCTGAAACTCTTCCGGAATGGAATGATGATGAAGAGAGAATACAGGGGCCAGAGATCTGTGACAGCAATAGCGGATTATATAAGGCAGCAGAAGAGTAACCCTATTCGGGAGGTCCAGGATTTGGAAGAAATTAGTTCTCTTGATGTAAGTCTTTCAATTTTATTCCTTCTAAATATATTCTTATTCTTTTTTTAAATGTGGAACTGGTGAAACAATGTATTTGAAGTACATATTTGCTGCTTTTTTTCCATTCAGAAACGCTGTGAGTGCTTTTTTTTAAACTGAGTGGAAAACTGGATCATTTCCAGTATTACAGATTATTCCAATATAATCACTTTCAACTGCATTCATTTTGTTACAATAACTCCACTACCAAATTACTTATTTTACTTTTAATCATTTGAAGACAATCATATGTTGTATTTGGCAAGATACTTCTAATATTCCTCACTGGAAAAATATTCACAAGGATGCTTCTGAATATTGAAAAGACAGAAAAGCAATAAATTCTGCACAGTTATTGACTGTTGAATGAATGGCATCTCTGTATTTGATATCCTTAGGGAGTAATGATAGTTTTTGATAATTTGAGGTAAGTTATAATTTAACTTCTGTTTTTACAGCGCAGCAGAAGAAATATTGTTGGATACTTTGAGCAAAAGGACTCTGACAATTACAGAACCTTTGAAAGAGTAGCGAATATTTTGCATGATGATTGTGTATTCCTGTCTGCCTTTGGGTAAGTTTAAAATTTGTTGATTGCATGACTTCATTACTGAAATTATGTTAATGACTTGTATATAATTTAATGGAATGGACTTCTTTAATACTTTCAGTGTGGCATAACTGAAGAGACTAGACCTTAACAGATAAGTACACTGAGATAAGGGTAGGAGGAGAAAACTCCTAGCCTTAATGTTTGCTGTGAAATCCAGCTTTGAATTTTTGCCTCCTTTTTCTTTTTTTCACTCCTTGTCAGTATAGTTTAACTGTAATTGGGGAGGTTTTAGGGGGACATGCTAGACAGTTGTGTCCCAAAAACCTGCTTCTTTGGAGGGAGAGGGGAACAAGTAGGGAAGAGCTTGAAAACTTTTTGGCAAATACGTTTATCAGCCTTGCAGACTTTTTTTGCAACCTCTTAAATTTTTTTTCTTTAAAATATGACCATCTTTTGTAGGGTGGTTTTTTCCTTCTTTTTGTAGGGTTTTTTTCCCTTCCTCTTTTCCTGTAAAGAATAATTCAGTAGTTGCTTGCTCATTTCTTTTTGATGTCAGGGCAGAGGACCTTGTTCCAAAATGCCTGATTTCTGTGCCTGGGTCTGTTTCATGTGAGTTCTATGTCACTGCACACAGTAACAGTTTAGAAAAGCAATTGCGTTGATGAGCTTCATAGTGTTGAGCCTAGAAGAACAACCTACAGAAATTCAAGTTTCTCCTTGTTATACCGATTTACAGCAATATTTAAAAATGTTAAAAGATCTTCACTGGAGGAAGAAGAATAAATTGGGAGTGATTCCCTTTTTAAGTAGCATAATAAAATGCAATTATAGAATCTTTCTGCAGTGTTTAATGTGCCAGCACTAACCAATTTAAAGTGATTGGGCATTAATGTGAATGCAGTGGTTTGCAGTCTACCCACAGTTGCAAGATCAGGAATTTGCATGGGCTATACTAGCTTTTATACCACATACAGTTGCCCTAAAGGTTTTTTGAATTGAATGTAGCGAAGGATAGTGGAGAAACTGGGAGGGTGTATTCTGGTAGAAAATGTTTCATCTGTTTGAACAAAATTTGTTGTCAGTCATTGAGGCCTCTTCCAAAGTGTTTCCAAAAAAAAGTTCAGGGGTGAGGGAGAGTATTTGTAATGTGCAGGTGTACGCATGGCTTTCCTTTCCTTCAGTTCCCCATATATCCTATGACTGTATAAGCAGCCTTGGTCCTGAGAGAATAATCAAGTCTTGTAAATCTGTGATCTGTAGGTCTGTCTGTCTTATCCCCAAAGAACGGCCATTATCTCAGATGTTTTCTGATGGGTGCGTCCATGCTTGTTCTCAGGGCAGCCAGTATGAGTTGTTATTAGAATTTTAAATTATTTTTTTGCCCCATCATATGTTTTTTTTGAATGCCTTTCAAAAATCATTAGTAAGGTAGCAATACTTTTAAGATTCTCTCTCCTGTTTGAGTCTGTTCGTCTTTGGTTTGCTATTTGTCAACTTCATACAATGAGAAATAGTTTCCCACCACTCAGTGTTAGGATTTGGTTGTTGGATGCTGTTTTTGAAGTCGTTTACTATGGGTTTTTGTTTTTTTTTTTTTCTTTAGATATAAGCAATAAGCAAACATAATGGAACAGATCAGTTTGATTATTTGTAACCTGCCTAAGTAACTACAGGTTGCACAGCAGGCTTGTTGTTATTCTCTTCTCCAGACTCCCATTCCCTTTCTAGCCTGGAGCTGTTAGTGTTTTAAAGTGCAGCCTTCCAGACAGCAATCCTGGAAACTAAATGTTTTCATCTCTGAATGGCTGCGGCTCTCAAACTTCCTAACAAATTATGTGTGAAAAGACTTCTGAGGGAGATTCTGGCTATATAAGTGTTTTCTATTCAAGATTATATATGGCAAAATGTTTCATGGGGAACTGGCCCTGGGCAGTCAAACTCTTCTGACTGAGCATCCTAGCAGCCCCTGGGAGGGATTTTTGGTTTTGCTATAGACAGAGTTCAACAGGTACATGGTTTGGGAGGTATATGGTAACGTGAGCTGTCATGTTCGAACTTCTAGTAAGCTAAAATAAACTCAAAACAATCAATTTGACAGGAAAAAAATAATTACTTCGCTAACTTCTGTCAAGGCAGAACTGTTCCCTGCTATGCCAAAATTATTCTGGCTTTAGGTAGTTGTAATAGCTTATTTTTGAACTGTATTAGTAGTACTTAGTTGCAGAGCATCTTGATGCTTAAAACTATTCTTAAATCAGCTGATCCTTACAGTTCTGTTAAGGTTTGAGGTAACTGTAGAGCAAGATTAATGAGAAGAATTGTAAGCAGAAGGAGATAGAAGGGATACTGGTGAAGAGATATTAGAGGTAGATTTTGGCAGTAGAACTAGAGAGAGGCAAATCTGAAATGTTTGTAGGCATGGAAGAGAATGGCCTTGTGCCATTGAGCCATAGCATAGGAAGCCAAATGCAGAAAACCAAAACAAACGGCCAAAAAATACTTTTATCTTAAAGGGCTATGATGAACTGTGGATAATTCATGGAAGAGAGTAATGAATCCAAGAACTGTTTTAATTTTATGTTAGCCAGCAAAGTGGTGGGGGGGTGTGGTGGTGGTTCCAAGAGGTTCACTTTTTATGTTACTGCTTCAAGAAAAGACAAAACACAACTGAAGTGTTTCCATTTCGGTAGTTGTTTTAAAAATGTGTATCTTCAGGCATTTGGGATTTTCACATCATGTCCCCCGTTTATTTGACTCGTCTGAAACAAATCAGTCACAACTGCAGTTAGTGAAGTCGAAGAACACAGAAGAGGACCTTTTGGGTTCCACCGCAGGCTTACCTTAGAGCATGTATTTCATTATAGATTATTATCAGCTTACCAAGCAGTGATTGGGCAGGTGGCTTCTATGTCTTCACTTTCTTCTTATTCAGTGGAGGATTGTTTGGGATGCAAGTGGTTTATCTCAGTGATGATGGTCACAAAGAAGCCTGATTTCACATTATGGGAGCAGTCATCATGTCTGGAATACAAAAATGCATTTTAAAATACACACCTCTAAACTGGTACAAATAGTGATAGGTGTAACATACTAGGCAAAACGTCTTCTGTATGTGATAAGAAAATGATAATTGGATCAAATGAACTAAATAAAACATAGGTACTTTGAGTTAAGCCTTGTGATGTCGTCTCTTTTTCTCTAAATTGTTCAGACCCCTCATCTTGCAGTGAGATAAATTGAGATATTTTTACTTCTCTTTTTTTCCTCCTCCTTACATCCCTTAATCAGTCTTCACCAATGCTTATATTAGTCCATAGAAGAGATACTATAATTGGAGAAGCTAGAACACTTAGCTAATGTTTCCCAGAGGCTGGCATGCTTTCTTTTTATCCTATGCGAAAAGGAAAAGAAATAGGTAGTTCATTTTACTCTTTTGTGGCGTATGCAGCCAGCCAGTTCTGTCTTGCCAGCATGAGTTACATTGGAACAGCAAGACATGGGAGAGAAGGAGAGGAGGCCTCTTTTGATGTCTGAAGATGATGAAAGGGCTTACTTTTGTTGAGAGCTTTCTTTCCTTTTTTTTTTTTTTCTATCTCCTGTGTTGGATGCATAGCTGTCCCCATTTGTTTGAATAAGAGATGATTATTTTGGGGGTACTAGCTAGCAGCTTTCAGGGCACTCTGTTGTGACTGGGATTAAGGAAGCACAAAATATTCCAGAGGCAGGGGAGGAACTTACTAAGGTGATATAGTAAGCTGAATACCAAGGAGGAACAGCATGTGTTCTCCAGGTACACACATACCATATCATCAGCGGTCAGAAACTGCATGCTGTGTCTTGTGCTCTCTAGATCTGGTTTGAGGGTAAAATGGACGGTGTGGACTTATTTGCTATCCATTTTCTCACTGCCTGTGCTGGTAGAGCACCTCAAAGCCCTTCTGTATCAGGGTAGATAAGATGTAAATTTCTAGTGTAAACAATGGAACAGGAAGAATGAATGCAAACAGAAATCCACCTTTCTCTCCTTTCCTTCCGTGAGAAAAGGTATTAATTTGTTTTAAATTTACCAGATTATATTAATTCATTAACACTTTTCTCTGATGGTCTCTTACCCAAAATTGTACCAACATTCATCACTTGCACTTTGATGCCTTTAGTCCACACTTTTAATCTTAGGGATACATCTTGCTGACTCCCTTAATGCTGTCTCATCTAGCCAGGCCAAGTTTCTGTGGAGTCACTTTACAGTTTACTTTAAAGATCAAGGATTTTAATTCTCAAATTTTGAAGGAAAAAAAAAAAAGTAGTAAAGAAAGGATAGCAAATTAAAATATGATTTTTGGTATCTCAGTTATTTTATTTGTCTGTACCAAGACATGCTTACTGGTTGGTTTGTTGTAGGGCTATTTCAAAAGCAGAGAGATTTAGCGGAGACAATGTAATCTACAAGCCACCAGGGGTAAGTGTAACTATGTATTTTATTCTGCTTATTGTCATTATATGTGAATATGAACTAGTGGAGACTATTCAGATCATTCAGTATATTACTGCATCTCAAACCTTAATTTCGTTTCATCACTAAATAGTGTGAGAAGTAGGGTCATAGGGACTAGTGTTTCTGAGTCAGTGAAAAAGATCTCAGTCTCATTTGTTGCCAGTTAAGTGCGCAAAACCTAAATCCGTCATTTTAAACGTCAATGTCCGGAAATGTTTTTTTTTCTTAGAAACACAGTTGACTCGTCATGTGTATAGATACTTTGTGTTCTGCAGAAGTCTTAAAAATCTGTGAAGTTCAACAGCTGGTGCACTTCAAGTTTTTCAAAGCAAGTGACAATTACTAAGTATTTTTCTGACTGTCACTTGCCTGTCTTGTGTGTCTTAGCCCACAAGGGCTAAGAGCTGTTCTCTTCACTTAAAAAAAAGGAATTAGTAAAATTAACTGTATGTTAACAAACTCTCATAAACATAGTTTTACTTGAGGAAAAATACAGTACAGAAGAAAATCTGCAAGAATTGCTTTTTAGAAACATAATTAATATCTGAAAATCTGTTCCTTTCTCAAATATACTGTATGAAAAGAGTTGCTTACAAAAGAGAAATAAATAAAAAAAGACCTAAGGGGGGAGGGAGTTTCAAACCTTTTTCTGCGAAAACAGAATTTATTAGGTCACCTAATTTATATGGCGTTTCTGAATTAAGGTGTGCTTAATCATGGCCACAGCTTGCAAAGTCATGCTTTGCTTCATGTTAACCAAAATTGTAATTACATTAAAAAATGGCAGCACTGAATTCTGAGTTAAAACTACTGGCAAATAAAGGAAAGCTATTATTTATTCATATCTCTTTGGCAAAGCAAATGTAAAATTCCAGTTTCAAGTCTTGTAGGACATTGGGAGGGGTTGGTTTTTTTATGAGTCTTTGTAACTACCAGCATGAAAAAGCTTAATATCTGCATTTAGTTTATATCTAATTTTTTTTTTAGGTATGGAGATACTATTTCTCAACTTGACAGAAGTCTAAATAGCCTTTATTTGAAGAATCGCTAATTTGGAAACAAAGTTTCTTTTTCAATTCTCCTTAAGTGGAGTTGACTGCACAGATGATCATCTATAATATTTATTTTCCTGTTGTACTTTTGTAACATAGTTAATAGAAATGTTGCATGCACAAGGGTTGAATATTGGTGTAAGATTGGCTTTTAATATTTATATGGATATAGTTACTTTTATGTCGGGTAGGTAATCTTCTTCATATATAGCAATGTCATCTTTACTGTTTCTCAACTAGTGTATTTTTCTTTTTCAACAGGAAAATGCTCCAGATATGGTGTATTTAGGATCGCTAACCAATTTTGATTTGATTTATGCATGGACACAAGATAAATGTGTACCACTAGTTCGAGAAATTACGTTTGAAAATGGTGAGGTAAGAATTTTTTCTACCATTCTACTTTTGGAGTTTCTTTCTCAAAACCAAAATGTCTCTTTCAAGGTCTTTAATCCATGCCAAAGAACTTTCTGCATGCTTTGCTTTAGACAGAAAATAGCTGTCAGGTAATGTCTTTTCATTCTTTTGGAGCTTTTTGGTTAGACTTGAAGTTCACTGGAGGCAGATTTGTAGTAGTATCATACACTACCAGAGTAAGAGGTTATAATCATGCATATAGATCACATAAGAAGTATCTGGTGATTTGCGGAGTGTGGACACTTGGACGCTAAGAATGTGCGTGTGTAAGAATGTGTGTGTCTGTAAGTATGTATGGGTGTGTATCACCTTGGGTAGGTTGTGTTATTCATCTAAAGTAAGTACATATTATTTATACAGATGTTATGACTAAATGTTGATTTAAGATCCAGACATAAATGTTATTTAAGTGCTTTTTGCATCTGTTATGACCTTGAAAAAAATGTTTCTAGTCAGGGTAGAAAATATCCATGTCAGCATGGCCATGGCAGTTTGAAAGAGTAAAATAGTTGTGAACTATCCTTTAGTTATAATCAGCTTTTAAAATGTAATGTTTAAGTTAGTAGTAGAAAAATGTTACTGTATTAGCCACTTCCAAAGCATTATCTAATAAACAAGCCCATTAAACGGTGGTGGACCATCTGTGGAACGGGCAATCTTCTGGGAATTGTAATAAAAACCATGTGATATTTTTTTGTCAATCTGTGTTTAAGCACTGGTACCTTCATAATCTTTTTAGCTTCACATGCTCTTTCCCGACGGTTGAAGGTTTCTTCTTTTAGCTGTAATTTGTAAGATGGAATTTGGGGGTTTGCTTTTAAACATCCTTTTTCTTCTCATTATCCTTATTTTCTTTCAGTGCTTTTCTGTTTTCTTTTGTAATTTACTTCTTTCATCTATATATCTAACCATATTATACTTTTTTTTTGGTAAAATAACCAATGGGGGAAAAAGATCTGTAGAAAATTAGCAAGTTTGTAGTATCTCAAAAGGAGTGTTTGTACATAGCCACAGGATCTGCTAGAGACTCTGGTGAGGTTTGTAACAAACTGCAGTGTGTTGTCCACACTGGATTAGAAACCAAAGAATCAGTCATATCATTTGTTCTCAGTTTGCACGCTTCATTTTTTTTATTCTGACTTTGCAGTGTATGTAACACTGCTGTTCTGGGCACGTGCAACATGTCAGGTTACATGACAGAGGGAGAGAGAGGGTGAGATGCACAAAATGGTTTAAGTACAACCTTCTAGTCAACCCCGCCAACTTTTATTGGAAAGTTCTGTTAGTTAAACAAATTTTAATTCTTGATTTGCAACTCAGTATGTAAAAGATGCCACACGTTAACATGTTTCAAAGCATGTGGTAAATTTTCAGTCTACTTTTCCCATGGTGAAATTGGATTCTGAGCCTTAGAAGCCAAGGTTCATCACTGTCAGCTTGTACCACATTGTGTCATGGTTTTTCTGGTTGTTCTTTCAACCCTGATTCCTGTTTACTTAGGCAGATATTTACAATTCCAATGTGACATTTTGCCTAGCAACATTTGTTTAAAAATTTCAGTGCTGCCAGTACCCAAACAAATTTCAACATGCCAAAACTGACATAATTCTGCCTGCTGAAATTGTATAGTATTTAAATGGGCTTTTACTGCATACTGCACAATATTACAGGGTAAAAATACAAAGTGCTGTGACTGTTAAGCTGTGTTTATGGTTCTAGAATACAGTATAAAGACAAAAATTTCTACCACAGACTTTAATTCCAATTTTAAAATCAAAATTGGCCTCTGTAAACTGCTGATAGGTTTTTCCCTCATTTTCTTTCTTAATGTTGTCATTATCTGGTAAGTGTCATGGGCAGGCTAGCCAGGAAGATGCCCAGTCTGAACAGAGTTCATCACTGTGACTTTAGACAGCACATAGTAATTGAACTCTGAAGCAAGGTCTTCTGCTTGAGAAGACTGTCCTTTTGAGAGACAGTCCCTGTACTTGATGAGAAAAGGCTGTTGGGATTAGTAATATCATTCAGAAGAAATCACTGTTTAACCTGTAATCAGTCTGTTTAGTTTTTCATTGTATGAATACAATGAACCGTGTGGTCTAACGATGGTGCTGAACTGTAAGCCTTTGAAAGGGTAAAAAGTTTCTCAAAGGCATACAGGAGTAATGTGAGCAGTTCAGATCTAATGAAAAATCTTTTGATATTCTCAGTGCCAAATGAGACAGTAGCTTTTGAGGGAGCAGTGCAAAGCAAATTAAATCACTATTCCACTTGCCACGTCCTGATCACTAAGACATGCTATGAAAGCTGGAATAGAAAAGCAAACAAAGGAAGGTACTTCATAGAAACCAGTTAGGGCCAAAATTAGCAAGGCTTTCAGGCCAGCTGTCCTAACAACCTGTTTGGAGATGAATTGATCTTGTGACTATAACTTGCCACATATAAGGGTTTTAACTATGCAGATATCAAAACTGAGGTTGTCCCTTTAGCTGCTTGCAAGCAAGAGGGGAGCTTAGAGCTGGAATACCAAGCTCTGTTTGGGAGTTCTCCCTCTGGAAATGTACCTGCTGAAACAAGTGAGGAGTCGGAGCCATAATCATAGTGGTACAAAACAGACTTTTTCACATCCTCATAATAGGAGAGGAGCCTGAGACCCAGCCAAATTCACATGTGTAAAAATGAAAATGAGCAAATGTGATTAGTTGGTTTAGGGATGGATTGGGAAGCTTGAATTTCGTCAAGAGCATTGAATTTATTAGGATCTTTGTAATCTGCTGTTAAAACACCAAGCTTCAACTTACCTGACAGACTTTGGTTGAAGGGAGAATAACAGCCATTTCATGTACACTACGTAACAGGCTGCCTACTGATATGGAAAGCATTTCTTCCAACTTACTGCAAATTGAAAACATCTGAAGAAACTATTCTATTTGGTGGCAGAAGGAACGAGTGCTCTCTTTCTCAAAAAGCATAGATTTTATTCTGATACAGGCTAGAATCAAAGAAATAGCAGCACTTGCTTGTACACCAGTTGTGCAAATGAAAGATAGGCAAGACTGTAGGCATTTGTTAGATGATAAATGATTATTTCTTCAATGAGGCTCTAGCAAGTTGAGCTAGTGTTCAGAGGTGCCTAAAATTCACTTCTGAAGCAAGCAAATGCATGTTGTTCGCGTTTTATTTGGGTTTTGAGTAAAAGAAAAATCCTGAATAAATTACTCAAGGAGTTGTACATTTATCTGTCTCTGGACAGGAATCTTTAAAAGGCACTGGGGCTGCAAGAATGCATTTCTATGAGGAACTAAAGGTTTCCTGTCCAACAAAGGTTTTCATTTCTTCATCAATTTTAGTAATATACTAGCCTATGAATTTAATAATGGTGTTAAACAGATGACCAGTCAGGACACCCTTACTGGCAGAAGAGCAGTACTTGATCATAATTGATATAGCTATGTCAGCTAAAAAGCTTCTGCTTTTTTTTTTTGCCCCCTTTTTTTTTTTAAGGATGGAGTTACTTAAAGATACTAATTCATTGTGTTATGCTAAGAAAACACCAACTTATTACATGAACCAAGCTAGGACTGGGTCTAGAATACGCATTCAGCTTTTTATAGTATGTAATACCATGCTGTTCAGGCCTTATTGCTGTTTCTATGAAGATGTTGTGTTTTCTCAGAATTGGGCTATTTCTCTTGAGCAATTATTCCAGTGCAAGTGTATCCCTTCCTGAAATGTTGATAATGAAATACCTTCATCGTTTATCTGCTGTATATGATACAGAAGAAGGAAGCATGGTTAACTGTATCACTCAGGTATCTTGGATGAAGGGTCAGCAGTTAACATCTTTAATCCTGGTCTTTCAGCTGTTTTTAAAGTAGACATCTCGCTGAATTTGAAAATTGCTGGAATCACTTAAGTGCCCTTAAGAAATGGAAGAAATGAGATTTGTTTTGTTTTCCGTGCAGGAACTGACGGAAGAAGGCCTTCCTTTTCTCATACTTTTCCACATGAAAGATGACTTGGAGAGTTTAGAGAAATTCCAACAGGAGGTTGCACGACAGTTAATAAGTGAAAAAGGTGTGTAGTAACTCCTACTACTTCTTGTTTTTACTGGTATAATTTTCTTCAGGCAAACTCAGAGTGGAAGCAAAGGCCAAACAGAATCCTAGCTTTAAAGCTCTTGAGTCCAAAGGGCTTTATGTACTTTTGACAGTGAGGACCAACTCCTCTGGAAATGATTAAAATAGATTCACAATTTATTAGTAAGTAACTGTTTCAGAAATCCTTCTTGTCTAAATGACTTCATGCAGTTTGAGAGGGCATTAAACAAAACTTCAGCTTGTATTATGGCCAAAAACATTTTAAGAAAATCCGTTATTTTGGTAGTGTTAGTTACTTAAATCTATTTTCAAGTTTTGCATGTTGTGTCTATCTAATATCTCCACCTTTGTAATACTTACAAAAGTGTTTAGGGTTTCAAGATAATAAAAAAATTCTTAACATGGATTTTTGTCTGCTCACAATTTTAAGGTACGATAAACTTCCTCCATGCTGACTGTGATAAATTCAGGCACCCACTCCTTCATATTCAGAAGACTCCAGCAGACTGCCCTGTTATTGCCATTGATAGCTTTAGGCACATGTATGTCTTTCCAGACTTCAGTGACTTGTCGTAAGTATTTTTCTTTGTGCGTTTTGATTTGCAAAGAACAAAGGAAAAGACGTGCTCATACTTTAATCAGTACTATGGTAGGAAGATGAATGAATCTGGGATAGGTGAGGCTGCCTATGTATGATTCAGTGTCAGGGCCTTAAAGCAATATGAATTGGCGTGAAGTCATTGTTAAAATGGAGTTGCATTGCTTTATGCAAGAAGAGAATCTCACATTAAGTTTTTAGATGCTGCTGCTCTTTTAATTCAAAGTTTTGCTATTTTCCATAGTAGTTAGGCATTTGGAGCCTGGCGTGGTATTTTCAGTGGTGATCTAGATATACCAATTAACTTTAAAAGGTTTAAAATACTACATGGAATGTTTCAGTGCGGTGTTATGCAATGATTACTGTAAAATGCATCGTGTCAGAATTCCCAGTCTGCTGGTTTGGTTTTTGCTGCTGTGCAATTCCAGCCTTCCTGCATTAGCCTAAACCTGGAAAGCTGGCAGAGAAATCCTTGTTGCCCGGGTTTCCGAAATTTTCCACATGCAGCTTGGAAAATGGCTGACTGTTGGCATGTTATCTGGATAAAATATGTGAGAGAGGAGTATCAGGGTGCTTAGGTGAAATGCCACTTTGATAATCCTCTTTACATCAGCCTATCTCTTTAAGTTGTACTGCCTTGGAAGCAGATGTTGTGTCTCCCGTGGTTCAGCTGAGGAGAGAAGATGTGTACGTGTTATCTTCAGGGCCTGTCAGCATGGGACAAGCATTCTGTCTTTGTCTTCAGATTGTGTGTTAAACTCCAGTTTCTGTCTCAGAGGAGGTACCTGCATACACACCGCTTGTTAAGTCCTGGTTAGATGTCTAGGCTTTGAGACTTGGAGTTTTTGCCCATTCAGAATTTTTGCCTGTGCATACTTTTAAAAACTCAGGGTATTTCATTTTTGTCCAAGACAAGGATTCAAAGCTCAGACTTAGCATGCAATGTGAATGTAACCCATGTCTAATTCTGCCATTCCAGCAGGCATTTTTCTACCTGAAATGTTGACATTTGGAAGGAGGGTTCAAACCTAGCTTCTCCCCATAATTCTCCACAGGCTTATTCTTAAAACGTAGTCTGTTTGATGTATCTCAAATAGTGCTTTTCAAATATCTAAAGCTATGTATGTGGAAACTCTGATAGTGACTATCTTTCTCCCTGTGTTCCTGTTTCTGTGGAAGATTATGTTCACCACACATGCCAGTGCTTTAAAAAAAAAAAAGTGGGATATTTGCATCTGGAAAGCACTCTTTTTATTGTCACTTTTGAAACAGCCCTAAAATAAATTAATATCCCTTATAGGGGAATAGAGATGTTTAGCTTAGACTTTCATATTATGTTTTTTACATGTTCTGTTTTCACAGAAACACTATCAGAATAATAAAAGCTACTTGCTTGTTTGTATACCAGTTGTTACATACTAATGAAGATGAGAGAGAGAGATGTCAGGATTGTAGACAGTTGCTTAATGATAAATAATTATTCAACCTTGCTCTAGGAGATTGAGCTGATACTTAGAAATACCTAACAAACAGTTTGGAAAGAAGGATAGCTTGGAGCTCCCCGGGTGATAACTCTTTTGTGTGGGGGTGGTTTGGATTTTTGTTTTGTTTTTTGGTTTGTGGGTTTGGGTGTGGGTTTTGTTTGTTTGTTTGTTTTTTAATAATAGGTTAAATCTTAATTCTAAGACTTTCATCTACCTGCAAGGATTTCTGCCACTCTAGTACATTTTCTGGACTCTTACAAACTGGCCCCAGACTGTCTCTTGTAATCTCGGTGCTGCCCACCAACCAATGGGGTTTGGATATGGTACTTTCAGAACTGGCCCACTAAAAGATTTCCTCTCTCTTTAGGGAGTCGTCTTTTTGGAGAATAGCCACTTCATAGGCAAATCAGACCACCACTCAATATTTTTGTCCTCATACTTTGGCCACCTGGCCCTATTCATCCTGCTGTTCCAGGTCAGAAATGATAGCAAGGAGCGTTCAACAGATCAGTTGTAGCTTCACAGCAAGAACTGGCTGAGCTTACAAGAGGCGCTAGGCACCAAATGCCCTTGCTGCATTAGGAGAGGAGAAGAGGTTGGAGGGGAATGTCTCCAGCAGTGTGCCTGACCTAGAACAGGGCGGGAGCCCAAGGTAAAGCAGGGAGCAGTGATTCTGCTGTCCCTACAACCGGGCTGGAATGAAGCCCATCAGTACTAATTCCTGATCTTATCTGGGAAGTGAAGAGACCCCTCAAAGTACCACTGTAATACGGATTAGTTACAGACGTTGCTGTAGTGATACCTTCTGACTCTACATTATACTACGTTTTACCCATAGAGTTTTCTAACGATCTGAAATGCTGATAGCCTGTCTGACCACACTTTGTCCCTCTTTCCTAAATGTAATAATTGGTCTGATGAAAGACTCCCTACAAAACCTGTCTCCATTCACACGTTACCTTTTGATTGCATGCATAGTGCTCATGTTATAGTTTTTTATCTCATCTTTAATACTTACTAGATCAACTCTTCATTTTAAGCTTTTTAGTCTATTTGACGTTTCACAAATAAAATCTGTTGCTGTAGTTTACCACGTTTGCTGTGGGTGACAGTAGATGATCTCAGATTAGATTTACATTGATATCCTCTCAGTGCTTATCTCTAGTGTATATGCAGTTGCTCAGGCACTAGAGAGCCTTTCAAAGATGTTTTGTCAATACTGCTACCCAACTGTCATTTGTATCTGTAAACTGTGCATTTGGAACCTGCTGTTCCCTCTTACATTATGGTTAGTGGGGAGCTGGAGTGAGTATACAATGAAGTTATCGGCTAGTACAACTCTGTGGGAGTTATTGAAAAGATGAAATACTTGCTGTGTTCTCAAGAGACAGTGGAAAGAAAAAGAAGCTGGTAGGATACCTTCACAAACCATTTGGCTTCCTGTCCTCTATTAATCACCTAAAAGTGGACATAGTGTGCCAGATAAACAGAAATTGGCTACTCTAAACAGTGCACTCTAAATCTTCTGTGTTTGGACTTAACTTGTAATAAACATGTGGGTGTTTCTGTTGGATTTGTTCCAGAGTTCCAGGTAAACTGAAGCAATTTGTACTAGACTTGCATTCTGGAAAATTGCATAGAGAGTTTCATCATGGCCCTGATCCAACTGATGTAGCACCTGGTCAGGTAAGGTTACAACAAATACATTTAATTTGGGCATTTAATAAAGACCCTTTTTCTTTTTTCTTTTTTTTTTTTTAACTCCTTGTCAGAGCTGTACTTCCTAACGTGTGTACCTTTAACTTCAGTCTCCTGAAAGAGAAATCTGTTTATAGAAGCATAACATTGCCACTTCTGCTTGGCTCTTCCTTTAACTTCCTTTGAGTAAAGGCAGGGAGAGCATTAGGGGGAAGTGTGGTACCTGTTTGCCTTGAATAAGGGAAGAGTATAAGAATATATATTTTCTCCACTGAAACAGAAGCTCTTGGGCCAGATGACTGTCTTGAGCTCGTAGATCTGCTCTTATGTTCTCATGTGATTTCAGTGCAAAAACTGATGATATGTCATAGATGCATTATTTCCCACACGACACACTATGAGAGGGTGCTTCTAAGGGGAAACATCAATTGACCGAATGTTTTATATATTTACTCGTGGTCGCCAATCCAAGCAGGAGGCAGATTGTTAGAGCATCAACAAAGGACCGATAAGCGGTAATAGGGCTTATTACTTTTAGTAATGCAGTTAACAAGCAGCATTAATAGTGGTCACAGGCTGCATTTGTCAGTTTGGATTTGTCACTGTTCTGCTCAAAGGTTGTCATGCTGTATAATTACATGTCTGGAAGTCACTCCTGGGATCTCTTCAGGAATGCAACTACTAGATCCTTCTCTAGACAAAACTCAGGAGCACCTCAGTGTTTAGTTTAATCCAAGAGGCAGAAGAGAAAGGACATTACCAGCCCCAATTCCCTCTGCTCAGCCCAGTCTTCTAACCGTGTCTTGATCAGCCTTGTATCTTCTTGATACACCGCTTGGCTCATATGCTTGGTGTCATGCTGAAAAGTGCAAACGTAACAGCCTGTCAGGTAACCTTCTCATTACCTCTGGCCCTCTCTAAAGAAAGAACTGTTTTTAAACACTTACTTTTAAGTTATACGTTGCATTATGTAGGGCTCAAAGAGCCGCAGTGATCCCAGAGGACAGCCGGTGCACTTGTGTTGGGGTGCCTTGGGCCATCCCAGAACCCGTGGGTGAGGGACAGAAACGATTTATGGCTACAGGCTCATTTTCCTGGTCATCTGTGGGATGTGGTAAGGGTGGCTCTGCACTAAGCCGTGCGAGTGCAGCCTCCTGTTGCCCTGCTCAGAGTTGAAAGATTTGAAAGTGTGAAAGCCCTGGAGGGCTTGCCTTGTGCCAGGAGAATGACTGCTTTTGGATGTTGTCATGACTGGCTGTGAAAACACGAGGGCTGAACTGTCTCAGCAGTAATTCATTTAACTGGTAACTCCCTGTGTTTCTCAGGAATTCATTGAGCAACTAGAATTCAGGTCAACAGGAGACGCGGAGAACAGGGCTGGAGACTGAGGCATAGGCCAGGCAGTCGGTCAGCTCAGAGCTAGGCAGGCGTGCATGGGGAGGAGACGCTCTGAGGCAACTGCAATCTGGAGGAGGCTTGGCCAGGGGGGGAAGGAAGCCTGCCGAGTCCCTGGATCCTGCTGCCTGTCTGGGCACAACCTCGTTGCCTAGAGCTGCAGGCTTGCTCTTGTCTCCATTTTGCCTTGAAAAATGCACACAAAACCTGGGATGTTTACTTTCTCATCTCCGTATGGCATCCTGCCATCTTGTGGAAGATGTGTATGTGTATGCAATGGAAATACTGGCCTTAACTAAACTGGAGGCTGCTGTCTTAGGTCATGTATGTCCCCTGAATTGCATGTTTGTTTGAGTTTTTTTAGTTTCCATAAAAAACGAATTCTAAAGTATTTTGGCAGCGATGCCATTTTTGCCCTGGTGTATCTCAAAGACAAACACGCAAACCAGAATACCTTCAAAGCAAGTGGTAGATACCCCATTGTAGATTTGTTTGGGTCTAAGTTTGAAATGCTTTTAAGTCCCTTGTACAGAAACTTGTGTGATGGCCGTTACCTTTGAGATGTGCCAACAAAAGGAATATCCTTAACTGATGGTGCTTCATTAATTAATGTATGTGTGTATTCCACCTGCTTGGGACTTGGAACGTGCATTCCAAAAAAACCCCAAAACCTCAATCTGTGAGAATGCTGGACGTTCATGCACTCCCATAATTAATGTTAGAAGTTCATTTAATGGAGGTGCTTGTTTATTAAACTGAGGCTAACAAGCAATTTTACTGTTTGTTCTGTTTTTCAGCCAATTCAGGATTTAGCAAGCAGCCCACCAGAGAGCTCATTCCAGAAACTGGCACCCAGTGAACATAGGTACACCTTATTGAGGGAAAAAGATGAACTTTAAAAACTTGAAATAATCTTGCAAGCCTTTCAGACAGCAGCATTGACTTCTGTGTGGTGGAAATAGTAAACCTATATTTTCATAATTCTATGTGTATTTTTATTTTGAATAAACTGAAAAATAATTTCTTTCTCCCCAGGCTTGTAAATACGTTTGTTTGGTGGGTCATTCTGTACAGCATCTTTCAAACAGTACGTTCCTAATGCTATAGTAAAATATCAGAGACCCATCCAGACTCTTGATCTAACTCTGTTCTGTAAAACTTTTATAATCCAAATGAAGGTATCCTTGCCAGAGACATGCTGTTAACTTGCACTATCCCATTAAATAGGACTTTTGGGTTGTTTTCTGTGTAACCTCGGTAGTATGTGCTTTTTCTCCTCCTTCATGTGAACAGCTATCCTGGTAATCTATTTCTTTGTCACGTTTTTCTCCAACTTAAGAGGGTCTTCTATTCTGGATACTTGGGAGGGGAATAAATTAAAGTTTTACAGAATCTCGTGTGGTCTTTACTGGGTGTAAATGTCCAAGCGATTAAACAATTCTGACTATTAAAATACCAAGCGAGGAAAGGAAAAGTTTTAATGATAATGGCTGTACTTGGAATGAAAGGGCTGTATTGACCTGCTCTGATTTCCTGGAATTACTAAGATTGTTATATTATCCACATGGTTGTGTTAAAAGAACATGAAAGTTGGAAGCCCTTCAAAGTAGGAGAGGACTAGGGGTGGACTGCCATCTTAGTTTTGTCAGTCTTAAATTAATCTCTGTATGTGTTACGATTAGTCTTCTTTCTTTTTTCCTTTTTTCTTTGGGTCCCTGCCTTCCTAGCAGACACATTACTTTCTAAACAACCACTGCAAACTTTTTGTTACTCTTTTTGTCTGGCTTGTGCCTTACTTATTGCATATTCTTTGAATTCTGCGCTGAAGAAGAATTACTACTCTCCTTGTGGGCTTTCTGTTGTGCATAATACCAGAATACAGGCTTTTCTCAATGAATCTTCAAGCTGCTTGGTGAGATGAACATACAGAAACTGTAAGATGGAAAAATACCCGTTAATTTGGGGTGCATTGCTGGAGACGAATTAGTATTGGATTTGTACAGTACACTTACTACAAAGAATCCAGGTCCTTGACTTGGGCCCCCAAGGTTTAGTGTCCTTCAAAGCAAGCTTGTTCTTTGGACAGGTGGACCGCTGGGTTCATGTTGAGTTCAGCGAGTGCCCCAGCTTCTGCAGTTCACAGCTCAGGATTCCTTTTGCCTCTCAGCTAGATGCCACCTACTCAGTTATTGACAGAAGACTGACATGGTCCTGTGCAGCCGTGGTAAAAGTTGATCCCTTGATCCCAAGAGAGGCTGCTGAATCAAGCCCCTGCAGCAACAGGCACATGAGCTTTCTAGGGGGTGATTCTGAGGAGAGAGTTGCTAGTACTAACCAACACCAAGCTACAGCTAGATGCCGAATTGGTAGCCAGAAGAGTACTGCAAGATTTTGTTTACAGGCATAATTTTTGTCAGTTTTATGAATCTGCATTTTGGAGTGCATGTTAAGGGCTTGAAAGCCTGGTCTGCTCCTGTCCCAGTCTCCATCTCATGCCAAATCAAGCATTTTTGGCAGCTGAGTTGTACCACCTTCCAGTTGGAATCCAAAGGTGCAAGCAGGGTATGGTTTTAAGGCTGCCACTTGTTATCTGCAGGTGGTGCTGGAGTTGTTCAAGCACCTGAAATTTTAGTCAATTCCTGCATGGTGCCTCCAAGTACTCGTCTTACTCCCCCGAGGTTCCTATTTTCCCTTGGAATTCTTATTTATAAATGCTGTTTGGTGGAAGACATCTAAACTTCTCTTTCTGGAGAGGGATGCTACCTCACCATACACCCAATAGTCCAGTGGCTGGTGCTTTCAGCTAGGAAGTGAAAGAGATGAACCCCCTCCACCATTCCTTCATCCAAGTTTGCTCTTCTGAGCAAGGACTTGTTCCCAGAGCTTTGGGATCCCAGCACTAGGTAGACAGATGACAGTTACGCACTCAAGTCATTTCATTGTGTATTCACTGGAGGTTGAACAGCTAAAGTCTAGGTGTGCCTAACATGATGTTGAAGTATCATCTGATGAAATAGAGAACTTGCCTAGAGAGAGCAAGTGTTGGACAAAATGCGAGATGTGTTTCAAATTGAGCCCTTCAATTCTGATCATCTACGTCAATGGCTTTAACCATTCAGTGCTCAGCTAACCCCTCCCTTTAACATTTCTCGAGGCTTTGATGGGAAGTTGTCAAACAATATTAGCGTTATCCCCATATGGAACAAAACCATTCCAAACTCTCTTTAACTGAACTTAAGGAGTCCATTTGTGAGCTAGCATATGTGTATGAGTTACTGGATGCATGCAACATTTTAGGAACTTGTGTTAATTTCAGTCAATGTCAATATTTCAATAGCTGAAGCATGTGTTAGGTAACTCAATTCAGGATTCTTAAATCTTGGTAATGCAATTATTTTAATAATATAAAATTTGTGAGGGGTTAATCTTTTTCTTAAATCTTGGTAATGCAATTATTTTAACCCCTCACAAATTTTATATTATTAATCTTTCGGATGCTGAAAGGAAATAAACCCCGACATTCTCAATAAATACTACAACCAGTCTCATAGGCAAAAATTTTTATTTGGTCTGAAAGAATTATGTATATCCTACATTTCTTCCGACTAACATGCCTAGCAATTTAAATGCTAGTTTGGTTACTCAGATGCCCGTGTTTCTTCACATATGTAAATAACGCATCTATTTTAAAAAATCATAGCTTAAATAATAGTCTCCCAAGTCTAGTGTGTACACAATGTTTTGAAATTGCTTCCTTAGACGCAAGGAGGGAAGAATAGTTTTTGTGCTAGACATCTCATAAAATGAGCGCACACCAAGCTGAATTTGTATAAGCTGTGGCAGGAATTCAGTTTTATGAATTTAGATTGTCCTGACATTAGTCCAGCTTGGGGGGAGAAGGTGGAATCCTCAATGTCTGATGTGGCTGCTGTCATTTAAATGCACAAGGTTTCGAAGCATCCAGTAGGAAAGCAGACATAGCTTTTTAAAATCATACAAAGAATGAACCGCAGTTGCTAATTAAGAACACTTTTTTTTCTTAGTTTTGTCCTTTAAATGTAGAAATTAATTACATACCAAAGGAATGAACAGCCTTAGTATGAAGTTGTTACAAGCTCATTAAATGTGTTTACATCCAAAGTAGATACATTTAAAGAAAAGTGCTTTTTGCCTGACGGGAGCAAATGAGCTGAATTAGGTGGGTCATGTTTTCCACTCCAGCTGATTTTACAGATGTAGGCACTGTGACTTTAACACATGCAGTTTTGACAATGTTGGCAATTACTTGTGAAAACTAGTCCTGCACACGTTGCTTCCCTGAGCCTCAGACCTACTTAAAATAGACACAATGCTCTGACTGATAGCAATTTCAATCATATTTTAAAAGTAATAAGAAAGAACTGTTCAGAAAAAGATATTTGTGCTGTAACTAACAGTTGCTTACAGTGTCTCTAGGCACAAAAACCTATCATCTGTCATTAGCAGACAGTTATTTCCAATGATGATATCAAAGTACTGGTTAAGAAAAGGGAGCTCTTTCTGTAGTATGCTTTCTTACACGGTGTTCCCCGCTAGGGAGCCTTATCACTCAACACTGACTTCAGTGTCCAACTAATAAAACTGGACTCAAGCAGAGCTCGGGCTGAATTGAACAGTTTAAAAACTTTAAAAAGCAGCTTCCCAGCCTCAATTTCTGTTCCCCCCAAACAGTAGCAGCAAGCGTGGGAACTGTCCTGGAAGGATGGAGGTAGGACCACGTGCTGAACAGTAGATTATGTGACAATAGTACGATTATGTGACAATAAAAACACGTTAACACTCCCATATTTAACAATGGAAGTTTCGGAAGCAAAAGGCTTCTTAAGCAGCGAAATCAGGATGGTTAGGAATAACAGGCATCCCCTATAAAAAGCCAGCAAAAGCACTAACAGCACCTCACCCCACACAGGCTCCACAGCATGTCCCAAAGTCTTGGAAAGGCTGAGAAGCTACTCCACAGTGCGGGTGGAAGCAGACGTTTCAGAACTGAATGAACAGCATGCAGAAGGTGTGCAGCTGACCCAGACAGCATGGCTCACTTACTGTAAGCGGTATCGGGTTGACATTTTCAAAATAGTCCCATCCTCTGGGGATGTCAGCTGACACCGGCACCCTTTAAAGGGCCTCGCTGCTTCACCGTCCTTTGACTGCTGCCTAACGCCCCCCTTGAGGGATAACAAAGACTACGGAGGGAGTGGGCCTGGCTGCAGCACTGCCTTCCAGGGAAGCCGTTTGGCTCTACCACCGGAGCACTGTCGGTGACAGGAGATGAGAGGCAAGGGCAACATCTAGCAGTAAGCGCTGCTTAAGCAAGCTGAGGCTTCGGGCTCAGAATGCCAGAGCTTGTCACTTCATCCTGTACGGTGTTCTCAGGACAAGCCAAGGAGTTGAACAGCCATGGAAAATTATTATTCTCCAGTAGCAGTCCTGCAGCGGTGCTGCTTAGACTGTTTAACTCTTAACTAGACTTTTAACAAGATGAGGAGTTTACAAATTAAAAAAAAAAGTACCTGAAAAAGGGCAAAAGCTGATTATGATGCTGATCTGATTTGGCTGATGGAGGCAGATGTGAGAGGTACACAAGAGTTTTTTCCACCTTAACCTTAAGGTTAAGGTTTTAACCTTTTCCTATGGCAACTAACGCTTCCCTGTGCGTTACTGAACAGGCATAGTCAGTCGTGTCCTGGGGGTATACACAGGAGGAGTTTAGGAATCCGGATAAATGAAAGTAAATTTAAAGTACTATGACTATGAAAAATAGACGGAGCTTACTTCCTTTTCTTTGGAGCTCCATAATAGAAGCTTCTTTCTGGGTGGCGTTCATGGGAAAGTACTAGGGTTTTCCAAATATCTCTCTTTGTATTGTCTGCAAGACACTTTGTGCAAATTTAGCATGAAGCACCTGTCACCCATCATTACAGCTGTGCATATAGCTCACCTAAGAATTTTAGAATTAAAAGTTATCCATATAATTTTCAAAGGACTGATGTCACTTATCACATCTGAAAAGAGAAATTCTGACATGACCATTTCACCCCTCCCAAGTAACAGTACTGTCTTCAAAATTCATACAACTCAGCCTTGTATTTAAAGCATAAGGCTGCAAGTCCGTCATTAGCACGGCTACTACACTTTTGTTCCTAGTCAGAACGAATCTGTACTTCAGCTGGATTTTTTGGCACTTTGGCGAGAAAGCTCTGGACAGCTGGAAGAGGCCTGCTCAATCAGTTTTTGTTTTCTTCTTTGTATCAATTTTCCACCTGTGAAACCCAAAATCCCACCACCAAGTGCAGCTGCAATTCCTGCCACTTTGAAGCCTGCAAGGAGACCAATAGGACCCCCCACCACTCCAC